AAGTCCAGAGAAACAGGTTCCTGAATCCAAGCCAAACATTTCTATTCATCAAGGTGTGATGCAGCTACAGCCTCTTCAGTTGAGCAATAAAAAAAGGATTTTGCATGTAAGTGTAGTTTTTTGCTTTTTAATACCCATGTAATAATGTAGTATAAAAGCCCAATGATAATCTTTTACACCACAATGAAGTACATGAATGCATTAAGTAATAGGGTTCTAAACATTTTGTCCTTGTACTTGCCAATGCCTACCAAGCGTTGGTGGTTGGGCAGTCTGAAAACAAGCTACAAGAAATGGCTCTAACTTAACAACAGAAAGTAAATGATTATCCAAGTAATACATTTCCTATCACTTTATCTGTTCATTTCAAAGATAAAATTACATTCAGGTTTACATTTGACCAAACTGAAGTAGAGAAATGAATGGCCATATCCTAGAATAGTGACTGTTTTGCTTAGAATCTATCCACAGAAACAAACCCAAACATGCAAATCTATAGGGCATGGCCTTAAATGAAGGAAACACTTTACTGTAAGATGTGAGCTACTGCTACTGCTAACCAAATCTTGATGAAGAACATTTTCTAAATGTAATCTTAACTCCATAGTCCTATTACAACTCTTGGTTACATTTGGCTAATACACTGTGAATTTATTTCATGTTTATTTTATGGGTCGCATTACTTTTAGTATGTTTGATAAGATGCAATAATAGACTATAAAATATACTTTAGTTCAAAAGGCCGGTGGTTGGTACTGTATCTCTATGAGCATCATCAGTGATAATGCATAAAGCACTATGCAACTTTAACTGCAAGGATGTGTATGTTTTCATGATTACTGGACCATATTGAAGACTATACAGACATGTGGCCATGTGTACTATGTGATCACTCTGACACATGTCACTCACTGTGTTTGTTGTTGGTTTCGGGGGCTGGCGTGGCTTTCACTGTGTCCTGCTGCGGTCCAGGCTTAAAGGGCCGAGCTCTTGGCAGCCCCGGAGAGGACAGCTTCCCAAACCTCGGGCCACCAGGGATTTCCATGGCTGCAAAAGAAGAGCAGATATATACAAATATGTTACAAGATTCCAAGGCTACTTAGAGTAAATTAATTTAACATTCTGTTGTTGGGATCTTAGCCAACCAAACTTAAAGCTATAGTATCAGAGTAGGTATCGGAACTAAAAAACGCTGCGTCGGTGCATCCTTACATTAAGTAACTGTTGATATTAACCGATACCGGGGCAGAGGCTAATAACAATATTTATTTCCTAATTTCCAAAAATAAAATAAGACAAAACTGATAAAAATATGTTAGTAAATAGTCTCCTTACATCAATTTATAAGTCCCACCAGTATGTCATCTGAGCCAATATTTGGAAGCTGATATCGGAATTTTTTTAGTTTTTCCACCAATATCTGATACCAGTATTGGATTGGTGGATCCCTAAATAATGGTCAACTATTTATGAATTCATGTGCAGAATACTAAAAAGGAAAAGACATGCCATGCATTAGCTGTAGTTTCAGGAGTTTTTTTTCTCCTTGTTGACACAAATAAGCTATAACGAGTACTTTTCTCAGTGCATAGGTGTTGCATCTTATGAGTGCCTGATATATGGTCAAATTATACTCAAATTTGAGAGCTCCCTTTAGTCGACTTACTGATGCAGGTCATGCCTTAAGTCAACCAGCTATATGAGTTTCAGTAATAATTTTGTAGAGCGGGAGTCAACACATTAATCTTTGTTCAATGCATACAGACCCTCTATTTGTAAAAACAACATTAGAAATAGATTTCATGTTTCTTACAGTGCCGTTGGAACAAGTTGGCCATTAGGCGTATTGGTCTGAAGGTTAGATTATCACAGTGACACAAATCATCTGCAGTGGTAATGAGGCTGCGACCTTCTATGTTTCAGTTCAAAATCAATACACTCACAGACTACACAGCAACTCCATGCTCTGCCCATTACACAGAAGGTGAATGAGATGCAGGTGCTGTCACAGTCTCAGTTTTTAATAAAGCCAAGTTTACCCAAGTACAGTACCACTACAAGAGAAAACAACATGCTGGTTGCTTCTGTCCCAGTGATGAACATGTGTATGAACGGAGCTGAAAGATGAAAACTGCTAATAATGTTAAGTGATGTTATTTGCAAGTCAACAACATACCCTGTTCACCAGTAATGAATTAAACCACACAGAGGGCCACGCAGCGGGGAGTCACACTATCAATTTACACACCACGCTATTCTGTGGAGACTGGCTTGTTTGTCAGTGATAGAGTAGTCATATCATATGTTCATTTTAACACAAATGATTTCAGAGTTGACAAGGCTCCAAAGTCAGGCTGTATGCAAATAAGGTTACAATAATATGCAAACAAAGGCACGGGGCTAACAAGCAAACAAGACAGGTCAAACAGTTTATACGCGAGGCGTTACATGTTTATTACACAAAACTTTAAAGTGCGAAACCTCTGGCACTGTTACGTTTCCATTCGCCTGGTGTCTCCCTCCACTTCTTCAGCAACTAAACTAGACCAAGAGAAAACATCATCATCTGACTGTCCGTCTGATTAAAGCTAATCCCTAGTTTAGCAACTAAGTCATTGGGAAATGTAGTGTCCATCAGAAAAGAGTTCACTAGTTTGTTTGTCTCGCTCGGCCACACCTACCCGGGCACAGGCTTAGTGCGATGGTCTGGGTGCCCTCGGGTCACCCACGTGATGGTGCAAAGGGTCACGAGACGGCACCTAAGTGGGCGTTTATTCCACCAATGTTATGTTACATGGCACTGGCACCTGCTGTGCGTCAAGGAGCGGTCACAGCGGCTTTGGGGCTAAAGGCACAGAGGAAACTCGTCCCGTACCCCACTCTGTAGACGACAACGAGGCGGAAGACAAGAGAGCCGAGACTAATCACAATGTAGTGTACCCATTAAAAACAGCCTTGGATACTTTGACCATAATCCCAGTTGCTAATGGGCTCGCCCCCTCCTTTCCAGCATTAATATGTAAACCACGAGGCACTTTTCCAACCTCTGTCTTCTCGTTTGCACTCCACAAATGTCAAAAATAACGCGAAACACAGACACGTCCAAGCTCCTTCAAGAAAGGATAATAGAATACGAAATGGTTTATATAGGCAGTGAAGCAAAATGGCGACTTTATTACGAAGGAGGAATAGAAAAAATCCGTACGCTGGCTGGAGCTGAAGGGAGGCACAAAAATATGTTTAGAGCAGTATTTTCGACGACGACAGCACGGTTGGTTAGGGTAAAAGAAAACACAGCGATGGAAAATAAGATAAAGCCATTAATTCACGATCAGAGGCGACACGTTCTCTGCTCCTTACCTCGGGATTATTGCGTTTTTTCAACGGATATTTCCCAGCGGCCGCGTACAGTGGTACAGTAGGCTCATGCGCGTATCCACTCCACCTTTGACAGTTCCAACTACAGTCTTGAGGCAACTTGCAAACTCTCGCGTTATTAATATCTTTATAGAGCGTATTAGGGACTATGATTTTCTTTAATAAATCCGCTACATAGTCTACCGGTATTGAAGCTGCTACGCACGACGACGTTACGACTCTCCCTCGCCCCTGACGAAATTGGTCAGAGTTCAATTCCCTAAATCAACACACTTTAAGTATTTTGCTGCTGCTGTGGATAGACCAGTCCCTCGTGTATTCCTGGTTAAATCAGTATCGCCAAATTCAGAAAACTAGAGTTAAACATTTAGGTGGTGCGTAAAGTCAGGTGCGTAAAGGCATTTGGATAGTTGCTGACGGACCTTAATTAGAATACTTAGTTTTGCCATCATGCTAAATAGTCCTTTAATTCAAGGTCAAAATTGCAAGTTACAAGCCGTAGCAATAATAACATTTTGGAAAGCTGTGATAAGTGAACAAATTATACAATGTGTGGTATTTATACTCATTACCTGTTTTAATTATCTTCTGACACATATTAGGCTATTGATTTGACCATATAGCCTAGTTTTCTTCAGCGGGTCATTTACTATCCCTTGAAAAAAATAAGAGACATGATTTCCACCCCATCCATTCAGATAAAAAAAAGGACCGAACCGCGTTTGATTGGTGCCAGTCATGACCTAAAATTTTCTATTTGTGCAGCCATGCAAATCCATGATGTCATCTGGTGTTAAGAGCACCAGCGAGGGCCCCGACAGTGTGTCTAATTTACCACTAGAGGGAAGTGTATGCTTATTTTTGCGTTGCTTTGCATACTTAATATTGCAATATCCTAAAATCCTGAGGAATTTATAAATATCATATGTACCTTGCATGAATCACCAGAATCAATCACAGTCAATCATTTAACTACACAGTGTTTTTACGTAGTCTAGATGAGGTGAGTTAAAGCTGGGTCTAGTTGATAGACCAGTGCCTAACTTACAGCACCCCACTTACTCCGTTAGTGTTATTCAACATTTACTGTATCACATATAAACTTTTACAAACTTAATTACAATTGTGTGATGAATCCAAAGTAGCCATTATCACTGCCAAGCTGTGTTTAAAACAGTGTTAAACAGGCAAAACCGAGAACAACCATGACTTAAGTGGAAGACAATGCATAAACAATGAGTTTGTAATTAAAGGTGAATTATGTAATTTTTCCGGTGGAGGGTCTGCCACCTTGTTACCACATGATATGGATATGTTATTCCTTTGCCTGGACTGTTCCACACTATGACATTAAAATTATATATCGCCATGGAAACAAGTGAGTTAAGTTACATGTCAAATCTGTGAAGAGACAGCCCTAAAAGATAGATAAGTTATTTGCCATACAGTGCAACATTTACGGCAAAGCATAAAATCACCACGTAGACAGTCAGTGGTGGACCCATCATTAGAAAAGGTACACAGCGCACCTTTAAATAAGTAACAGAAGTGCAAAAGGCTTACCTCTGATTGATTGGAACAAACTACTCCTGTTGCAGTTTGTTCTAAACCAACGATACTGCCAGGTCTTTCACGCCATCTAGCGGTCGGACATGAAGGTGTATGTCATGTGGTGTGGTGAGGAAGCTGTAGTGCTAGCTCCGCGGACCACAATAATGGTTTTTGCCGTTTAACTTTGGATTATCGATATTACAGGTAAGTTCTTTTCTACTTGGATAAAACCTTAGAGACTAGAGATAAAGACAGATCCAAGAGGAAGGCCCTGACTCTCCTGTTTGTTGTTATGCACACTTAAAATATGTTCATGTTCATTGTTATACTTTTATTTCTTCTTCTACTTCTATTCCTGTACATTTTTGTGATCTCCACGATGATTTATCCCCTTTATTTCCTGGCTTTCGTCTTTAAAATTGGGCTGTTTACATCCCACAGAAGTGGCCACTGAAGCCAAAGTCGCTGCCATTGTGGTAGATGATTACCCACGTGATTCTGCAGGCCTGCGGACTGGTTTGATGAGTAAGTCTTTATTTCTTGCATACAGCAAAACGCACAAGTTTATACCTCTGGAATGGAATGCCAATTACTGAGCCTTTTTAATGACATGGAAAAATACACAAATAAAACACAATGCCTTGTAATGTTTTTATTTTTATAAATTTTTATTTTTTAAATTTTGGTATAAAACATGCTGTATGTGAGTGATTTATATTTTAATTATGCCATGTTTTTTTCAGGTTTAGTTACTATAAATGAATAGATCATCAGCCTGCGATGGCTCTGCCTTGATCCCACCTTTGGATAGTGACGACAGTGCCCTCAGTGACAGTGAGGACAGTGATGGAGGGAATCTTTTGTGTGAAGATGAAAGCACTGATGAAGACCACACTGCACCTGCTAGCCCAAGTTGCACTGCCGGGAGTAGAGATATTCAGTGGGAAACTGTACCACAACAGAACTCTGCTAAAGACTTCCCAGTTTGGGGAAGGGCTCTGTCTCATGCTGATGAAATCAGGCAGCCCGTTCAGTATTTTAGAGACTTTTTTGATGCCGATCTTTTGAAGCATATTGTACAGCAAAGTAATCTTTTTTGTTTTCAGCAAAAACAACGTACTCTTAATATGGATCAAAATGAACTGGAGCAGTTTCTTGGGGCAGTTTTGTACATGAGTGTCTTTCAGTTACCACGGTCACGGCTGTACTGGTCCGCTGAATGCCGTGTGGCACAGGTGGCTGATATAATGTCCAGAGGCAGATGGGAAGAAATCAAGGAATTTATTCATTTCAATGACAACAGCAACATGGCATCCAACAATGATAAGCTTTATAAAATCCGGCCACTGATTGATTCACTCCTCAAAAAATTTCATGTTTTGCCACAAGACCAACTGTTGTCTATTCATGAGCTTATAGTGCCTTTCAAAGGAAAAACTAATCTAAAGCACTACCTTTCCAAAAAAACATTCAAATGGGGATACAAAGTCTTTGTGCTTTGTGACACAAAGGGCCTGGTGCATTCTTTTGACATATACACAGGCTACTCTGATCCTCTCCCTGGGGAACCGGACCGGGGGGCAAAAGGAAATGTGGTGCTTAAGTTTGCCCAAATCATTCCTAGTTCTGCCAACCACTTACTGTTTTTCGACTCCCGCTTTTCTTCCTTGGATTTACTTGTTGTACTTGCAAATAAGGGGATACTAGCACTTGGGGCAATGAAGCAAAGTCGGCTGCCTGGCTGCAATTTCAGCAAGGACGGTGTCATGAAGAAGAAGGGACGAGGGTCTTTCGAGGAGAAAAAGGTTGTTATCCAAAGTGTGGAAATCAGAGCTGTCAAATGGTTTAACAATAGAGGGCAAATAGTTGCCAGCACATTTGCCAGTGCCCAGCCAGTTTGTCAAGTGGAAAGATCTCACAGGAAGTTAAAAAAGAATATTTCAATAAAATGCCCACACATTATCAGCATCTATAACCAGTTTAAAGGTGGTGTGAATGCTCTTGAAGCACTCATTTCCAACTTTCCTATTCAGATAAAGTCCAAAAAGTTCTATCATAGGTTCTTTTTTTATTTCATGAATATGGTCATTGTGAACAGCTGGCTCCTATATCAGCGTGACTGTGAATCTCTTAATGTTCCCAAAAAGATGCAGAAGGACTTCCTTGATTTTAGAACATCAATTGCACAGGCACTTTGTCTACAAGGGAAGGACCTGACCAGGAAGAGAAGTGGTCAACCCTTTTCAGAAATAGAGAGAGAGTTTGAAAAGAAGAAACAGCGAGGTGCCACTAAGGCTATCCCCACACAGGAAGTGCGCTCAGACTCTGTGGGACACTGGCCTGTGATGGAGAGTGTACGACAGCGCTGCAAACGTCCCAACTGTAAGGGTCTAACTGTCTGTAAATGTATAAAGTGCAACGTTCACTTGTGCCTCAACAAGAGGAAGAACTGCTTTAGAGAGTTTCATGAGTAAGACCTTTTCAACCTTTTTTGTATTGTGACTTCTTGTTATTTATACTGTTGCTTTCTTCAGAAGTGGCTACAAAACAACATAAAATTGTCTTCTGTAGACTAAGTAGAAGATCTGTGTTTGTATTATTGAAATGTATAACTTTCACTGGATTTAACAGTAAACAATATGAACAATTGGAAAAAAACAAAAAAAAATTGTCTGAGCTGATTACAGGACATGTTGGCTACATGGTGTTTTGACTTATTACATTGTTTCTGTGCTGGCACATATGTCGTATCACTTCGACCATTTGCCGAATGTCTCAATCCTCTTTCACCCCGTTTCATGCTGTAGCTGTCCTAAAAGCCTTTGGGTCAACAACAATTTTTTTAAAAAAGGAAAATGGCTTTTTTCCCACCACCTAACACACACTAATAACAGCCATCCATCAAATGTGTTCTACCTTATCCTGGGCCAAGTCAGAGAGGCCAGTGTTCTCATATTAAAATATGTGAGATGTCAATGTTGGTCAGTATGTGACTGACAAGCAGCATAGTTCAGTTTTTCATACATTTTAATATGTACAAAGAAAACATTAATTCACATTGTCCATTATTTTAAACATTTCCATTATTTTAAACAATCCAACACTCACCAGATACTTTTGTCAAATATACAAAAACATCAAGTAATCCAAAACAGTACAGTGACTTTTCTCCCAGGTAAAAGTCTTTACTCACAGTACTTCAAATAAATCATGACAAAAGGGAAGTTTAGTTGCTTATTTATATTTTTGTGTCCTAATGGCCCTCACAGAGCTGTCTGCTGCCTACAGTTACATCAAACATCCTGTCTGTGCTGATTCTGTCTCTGGAGCTGTCATGCTTTGTGGATCCACGCATTTGAAATCACAGTGTGTCACAGGGGACAGAAAGACATAAAAATACAGCAGAGGCTGCATTTGTTTGAATAAACGTATATGTACCCTTTCCAAATACAATGTGCTATATGCAATGTATTCTGAGGCTCCGCAGATTTTCAGCAACTACAGGGTGAAATGTGCTGTTATATGTTTTTATGATGTATTTCTACTTCTACAGGTATGCTGTGTCTTGGATCAGAGGTATCCCCTGAAAGTCCAATTTAGGCTAAACATAAAAAATAGAAAAATATTAAAGCTGCATGTTTTGTTATAAATTACATGCATTAATTGACTAATTTGATTGAACATAGCACTGTGCTTCCATGTATGTCACTAACCCATTCTACCATAGAGTAGAATATAAAATACCAAGTTTAACCTTTTACTTAAGAACTATTGCTACAAGTATTGTCATTCATTTGGAATATCTCCCTAAAAGCTACAGTTACTGTCTTTACAGATTTACAGTGTATATTGGGTTATTGGTTTTTAATTAGTCTGATAAAACCATTCAAAGTCTACTGCATCCAGGTTAACGATAGTTGAATTTTTTTTACAAAAACAACACTTAATATAATATCACTGATCTATAGGCTACTTTCTAAGCAGTAATTATTGGTTCAGGAATTACCCACTAATTAGCACTGTAAATATCCAGGAAATACCAGTCTGTATTTGAAATTTATTGTCAAAAATAGTTTTGTGTTGACTTCTTACACATTTGAGAAATGATACTGTGTGAATGTGACTGCACTGGAGAATGTATTTACTATAGATATTTGTATTTAAGACAACCAGACAAAAACAAACAAAAGTTGACAAAGGAATTAGCTATAGTTGATATTGAGCATATTGGCCTATTACAGCCTCTGGGTCTGAAGAGTCTTGTCTGAGGTGAATGAGAATCCTCTGGACTGGTTGGTGTGATCCTAACCCTGGTCCAGTCTCTTGCTCCTGTTTTGGGACAGCAGTGTCTTCAGGCTCCCACAGATCTATGTTGTGATGTGGATGAGGACAGGGCTGCCAAGCACAGCTACGAGAAGTTTCCAAAAGAAGCTACAGAAAAAAAACAGAAAATGTTCATGAGTGTGTACATTCCCAACCCCCCCAACCCCCCACCCCTTATGAATCACCTGTGCAGGTTAACACATGATAAAATGTGTTCATGTGCACAATACTGAAACACATTAAGGAAAATCAATTCTTCATATACATTGTAATGAAAGATATTGCATTGCAGCTATAAAATGATTTAAAAATGACAGCACTGTCATTAGTCAAGTATTAGTTTATTATTAGTTTTTGTTTGTATTATAAGATAGATATTTGCAGTGTAGTAGGCTAAGCATATTCCAGACTATTTGTGTTGAATGAGAGGATGTTGTCTTCTTTAGCCTAAAGCCTACAGTGACTGCAGCAGGAACATCTGGACAGCTCTGAAAGTGAGGGCTCAACGGGGGTGCACACTTCTGCCTGTAGATGCTGCTATATCTTTATAAAGTCACTCCTTTCTTCCTTCAGAGCACATCAATATTTCATCAAAAGATGTGTTTGTATGCTCCCATCTGCTCTCAGTGGTAATTAGAAGTAACTAGGCGCTACAGTACATGACTTAAACCTTTAAGCACACAAAGATGATCATTTCCATTGGAGAGTGGACTTCTTGATTTAGACGCTGACCCATATTACCATGGGGCTGCCTCAAATGCGCCAAATTATAATAGGAAATACATAGCAAGCACGATACAGAGAATAAAAACAGGAACGGTTGCCTCATTCTCATTCTTGTCTGCACCGCTCCACAGAGGATAACACTAGAGAGAATCACTACTCTCATAATGTCCAAGCCTCATATCAATGGCCCCTTCGCTCATATGCCCCACCATCGTGCAGGTTGTCCCATGTCATTTTAAATCTGTCACGTTTAGAAACAGCTGGTGCTTTTGCTATTGGGAGACATGGGTTTAAAGCTAAAATGCCAACAGCCTGGTAGTGGTGTGCTTGGTGACTGGCTGTCAGGGAAACCACCTGGTCGCATCTGTTCTTTCAAATAGAGATCAAGATAATGACACGAAGATGCAGGCTTGACATAAGTTTGCCTGTATTTCATGCATGTATTAGCTAACATTAAGAGGTTGAATAAGCACTGACAACCAAACTTTTTTAGCTGATCTTATATTGGACTAACAGCATGTTGTGCCTGGCTGATAAATATGTTGCCATAGCAATAGTGATATATTAAACTAAATATATAGTCAAAATGATTCCTTACGATACACACACAGTATGATTTATTGTCTCCTTCAACAAAAGCTGTAGTCCCTTGAGTAAAAGGGCTAGAAAATATATACAAATTATTGCTGCTTTAATTGATTAATAAAGTTTCTGAAATACTGTACTATGAATAAAGCACATAAAGTTACATTAAGGAATATGGGCGTGCAAAAATATCGATGAATTGTATTGTTTAATATGATGATACAATATTGATATCGGGGGCCGCTGTATTGATATATCACCAAGGGTATTTTTTGGTATATTTTACTAAATTATTTTGTTACATCTACAGTTTTGTTGCTTGTTTACAGGAAGGAAAATTGTTTATGCAACATATTTGACATTTTCACTGTTTTGATGAGTAAAATGTTTATGTTTCATATGAACTTTGCACAAGAAGTGGTTTAACAAAGACTTTTAGTATCATGATTTAGCCTTTATTTTTTATTGAATCATATCAAATCGATTTGTAATATATAGTATCGAAACAAAAGCTCACTGTATCGAGGCCTGTATCGTATCGTAGCCTATGTATCAAAATATGTATCGTATCGGCAACTTCTTAATGATACCCAGCTCTATTAAGGAATCACTCATCCATGCACAAAGACATTCATACACCACACCAGTGTATGCCTCTGTGGGAGCTGGAATCGCACCTCCAACCTGTTGGTCAGCAGTTCTGAACACTCAACCAATGATGAAATCGACAGTGGGATTTTTACCACCAACCTTCAGATCAGTTAACAAACGGAGTTACTGTACAGTTAATGTGTAATGCATATTAATAAAGAATTACATATTTAATTTAGTAATACTGACAAATAAGTTACTGGACAAGTTTATGTGTGTGCACTCTGTGTGAAAAGTTTGGGTTTAACAAAAATGATTGCTCAAAATACATTGATAAATAAAAGCATGAAGATAATGTGAAGTCTGATCTCATTCTCACTCTAACAGATGTTTTAACTGTATTTGATTTTATGGTGTGAAGAAGACAATTTTATACAATCTGTCTGAAACAAAACTAATGTGATTTTGCGCTGAGTGTGAAATGCTATTATACTGGCTCGGTCCCAGGCACAACATTAGCATCACAGAGCACAATACAGTAAACTGTCCTCCCTCTCTCCCTGCTATCCTCCTTTACCTTTGTTTGAGTCACTATCACAGAAATCTGGCTATTTTATTCAATGCCAAACATCCAAAAAACATAATCTATGTATTTTGTTGGGAAGTTAAAGTATTGCCCTGTTTAGCTGCCAGAATTCTGTTAGTACTGACTTAAAGATGCACTTTTCAGGTTAATCACTGCCAGTGATGAACCCTCTACCAGAAAAGTGTTTTTTTTTTTTTTTTCTCCCATGTTTTTTTTTTTTCCTGAAATGTTCTACAGCACAGGTGTCAAACATGCGGCCCCGAGGCCAGATCCGGCCCTCCAAGACCTTTAATCTGGCCCTCGTCTGATTTTCTACTAAAATATTTTAATTATATTTTCTATTAAAATATTGGTAATTTTCTGCGGTGCTGAGCATATAAGCGTCTCCAGCGTCTCTGTGCGTGGCCCCTCCCACCAGAGCAGCACAAATGAAGACTTATCTCTTTCCAAACGCTCTTAAAGGACGATCGTTTTGACTGTTGACCGTAACACCCTCATCAGCAAAATGTCCAACATGAGAAAAGTGGAGCCGAGTGCAGGATTTTCCAAGAAAAATTAACTTATTCCTATTTATACAAGTTAATGTTAAACAAGTTCATGTTAAAAAAATTACATTTTTCTTAAAGTTTCAGGTTGTTCATAATACTATAATATTTTGTAAAAGAAAGAGTTCATCAGTTAAAAAAGATTTCTGTAATAGATTTGTGTTTCTCTGCACAAATATTTGAATTTATTTTTGGGGTTTATATGCCGTGAGTTTTCTGATCCGGCCCCTTTGGGATCAAAGTAGGTTGGATACGGCCCCCGGACCAAAATGAGTTTGACACCCCTGTTCTACAGTATGGAATTGAATTTAACTATCTCCATGGAGACCAGCAGGCCAAGTTACAAGTCAGATCTATGAAGAAGTGGACTCTCTCACAGTAATAATGCATGCTTTTGTAGTAGTTTGAGAAATAAAAACATCTGTAATTGAATACATACAAGATGTTTTTTGTTTGCCATACTGTGGAACATGCTAGGGAAAGTAATAACATCACCACGGAGACAAGCAAATGGCGGACCTCACACTTTTAAGTTAAATAACTCATAGGATATCATAAGGCAATAGACAGAATAGCAGCTAGTAAACTGTGGACACCAAACTCCCTTCAAATGTGATGGAGTGAAGGAATATTGGGGTAATGTAAAGAAGATTTTAGATTTATTTGATTAGAGCGCAACACAAGAAATGAATGAAATAGATTATTCATTTGATAACTTATTCTGTATTAAACAAGGTGGGACAGTTTGATGCTCAACGCACTAGAAATTTGAGAAAGCCTGATATGTCAAATAGTGCCAACATCTAAGATCTAAATCCTTGATGTCTATTTTCACCCCCTCTTCTCAAAAGAGGGTAAAAAGTTACTGAGAAATCAATATTTAATTTTTGTCTGATCTTTGAGAGATAAATCATGTTTAACAGCCAACATGGAGACTGAGCACACTTACATTTTAAATGTATCAGAGAATCACTCAACTGAATACAAGTGTTAAGTACGAGGCTGGAATGAAGGAACAGATGTGTGGCATGATAATGTAAGTTATTCATGATGTAAAGAGAAATTAAAGGTTCTATATTACGTGAAATTGACTCTTGTGAGCTTTGAGCCATGTTATAATGTTGTTACCTCCTCAAAAACATACCAGGAGTTGTGTTCTGTTTCATTCACAAATGTTTGAATAATTATTTATTCAAACATTTATTACTGAGTCTGTCTACATCTCCAAAGCTACAAGCTCAATATGCTCTGTTCCACCTTGTGATGTCATGAAGTAGTATTGTTCAAGTTAACAGCTACATTTTTACCTTTTGATTAATAAAGGTTAACTATTCCAGAGCTTACATTATCCAAATGATTTTAGTTAAGGTGTATGTAGTTTAAAAACACAGTGAAGCATTTCTTGTATTACTACATGACGTCACAAGGTGAAACATAGTATTTTCTGTTTGAGATAAATCTAAATATGCAGGATCTGTGTATTAAACTGGTGTTATTATTTCAGTATTTTGTCTGTAATTTAATTCCTATTCCTAATATGGAATTAGATTCCACATTTGCCCCATAACCGTTCGCCTCATGAGCTTCATTTGACTGGAGGTGAACACTGTGGGGGACGTCACACTCCCTTAGTCCACTTCTTCCTACAGTCTATGGTGTTCCCAAGTGTTTTTCATCAGCCAATAGGAGTCATGTGGCGGTGCACTATATTTTGAGCGTGTCCAGTGTGTAGCTGTTTCTCTGCTCCGGCCTTCACTTCACATTTCATTGTCACCTCCACTTCCCCTCCAACCCTGTGAACCTCAGCTGTGAGATGGGGCCAGCAAATTAACCTGCCCTCATCGCACTAAAGTCTGCGCCTGCTCGACTGGTAAATTACATTTGCATTGCACTTTTAATAGAAGTGTCCTACAGCAATTTAATTATTTTCCCTCACCGCTCAATTTTGTTCCAACTTGTGGTTCATTCCAGGTTAACCTCATGCAAAACACCTGATTAGCCAAATGTCATTGTTATTACTAATGCTGTAATCTGGTAAATTGATTACCTCTAGCAAAATGGATAAATAAATTAACAGGCAAAACAGATTGGGTTTAAGCATTTGTATTCATGGTGTTTTTCAGTAAAAAGTGAATGACAAATGTGTAATGAATTTGTTGTGAGAATTTTAACTTCGCTATAGTAATTATGCTGGAAACCTTTACTCTTCTACTTATAACATTATTTCAAAGTGACAGCGCTTTCTTATATTGCCGGCTAATTTAAAGGTGCAATGTGTAATGTTTCTAGTGGAGAGTCAGCCACCAGCTTCTCTCCATGGAGATGTTATTGCTTTGTCTAGAATGTTTCATGGTATGCATTAAACCTACCTATCACAAGGGAGACAAGCAGGTTACAGCATTACGCTACATTACAGTTCAGATCTGTGGAGAGTCGCCCCATTCACTGAAGTTATTAGTGTATTTTTGAGCAATAGAAACACTCGTAATCAATAAATGCAAGATGGATATGTTTAATGTCATACCATGGAACATTCCAGGTAAAGCAATAACATCTCCATGGAGACAAGTAGGTAGCAGACCCTTTATCAGAAAAGCTGCCTGGTGCTGCTTTAAAGTACACTTATTTCACCAATCTATAATTCTACACCCTATGTTTTCACAATCTTTGAACTGTCACAGATATCCAAAAGGTATGTAAGAACAGTTGAAAAATTGAAGTTGTTTGTACAATTTCTATCAATCAGATTTCTCAAAACATTAATCAGTCTGACTGCAGAGAAACCACTTCATTTTCTGTGTGAATGTGAGCTGTGATTGAAGAGCTCTCGCTCCATCAAGACACACGAAAAAAAAGAAAAAAAAAAAAATGCATCGGTCGAGCTCACAATCATCTGCAGGGCCCTTGTGTCAAAGAGAATCACTCAGATAAAGACTAAGACTCATATGTTTTTCAAGATTACTGTTTCATGAAATGTCTGAATTCAGAATATTGAGAAAAAGTGTATTTGATGACTAGATTGCAATATTCAAAATCAAAGAGTAATTGTTAACTTTTTGATACATTTTTTAAAACCTTTTCAATCAAGTAGATGATCTTTTACATTTGTAGCAAACAAGCAGCAGTTATGAGGTAACAAGGTGCCATGGTAGAAATAAAAAAATGCTAATAGTAGAAGTAGTTATCCATGGGTTAAAGAATGATGAAAAGTCAGGACCATTGGCATAACAATTAACAGTTTAAAACTAAATATTATATAATTTGAATGATTAAAGGTCCTCAGAATGGACTCAGAAAACACCTTTAGTCACAAAATTGCATTTGTACAATAATTTTATTTTCTTCAGCAATATTCTACAAACATTTTTGTTTTAGTTCACTGTTGAAAAACTCCTTAAACTCCTGAACAAATGGTGTGGTTGAGTGAATGTAGGTCAGCTGTGATGAACAGCACTGTTGTATTGATGGTCGGCCGTAAAAGTGTTTAGAGAAGGCATCATTCAGAGGCAGGGGCCTCAAATCAACAGTTCACATCAATACAGCCCTATACAACCCCACACGAATAAGTGCACCTGAGTGTTCCAGCCCACGTCTGTCACAGCAGGCAGCATGGGGCCAGACAAACTCACTTTAGACTTACACTTCTGCTTTTGTGTTTTGTTTCTTCCATTAAGTCATTTGGTCCACACAATAAAACATTTCCTCAAGTAATACATTGATTACTTGTATAGAGCAAATATATATATAGTCTTGCAAATTCTGACCTTTAGTTAACATTTCATTAGAAGTGACAAAACCTTAAAGGAACTCTATGCAGCACTCTTACAGTTTTAAAAAGGGTTCTCTCCAATTTATGTCTCTCTTTTTTAATTTTAATCTTCATGATTATTTATGTTTTGATTTGTTTTTTTATGATTTTAATGTATTTCAAAAGCACAATTACTTTGTGTAAATTGTGCTAACAAATAAACTTGCCTTGCCTTGCCTTGCCTTACTGCAACCACAACTAAAACTGAATTGCCAGTGTCTTATCCTGGAGATAGAGGACACAGTTTTTCTTATTCTCAGCATATGGACAGGCCATGGCTCATGTGAAAGCTCGGAACCTCCAGAATTCCCTCACTGAGCTGTGGAGGCTGCACTAGCACTGACTAATGATTGTCTGCACGTGCTGGGCTTTAGATGAAATGCAGAATCAACATTTTAGGTCGAGTTTCTATATCACTGACACATGTTCACTCACTTCTGCTAAGGAGCTGGAGGTTGCGGACTTCTTCTCGCACTTGCAGTTGTAGGACTTGTTGTAGGACTTCCTGTCTGAGGGTCTCCTGAACTATCCCCATTCTTTCCAACTTCTCGCCATTTAACCGAAGCAACGCTCGCCCTGCAACACACAAGATATATATTATAAAACTGGAGAGAGAACATAAAAAGAAAGAAAGGAAGAGGGGGTGTAGATGTTGTTAGGCTCATGACTGAAAAAAGCAAAAAGCAATACCATTCATATATCAGAAAAAACAAAACTAAGACAAATATGCTTCTACCATTTCTGGAATACAAGCACTACGAATACTAGACTGTGTAGTAGAACATCTTACATTTGCCATTTTCACAGCAAAGGTCAAGTAATCCTTATGTTCTGCAAACCCAAACATTTCTTCACATCCTCTGCGCACTGCTTCTTATGAGAATCCCCCCTCTATAACTGCCTCATTCGTATTGCTTGGGGATAGGCTGTTTTTCTATGGATGCGTTTTACAACACATTTTAACTGTTAACCCTGGGACTCTCACATTTAACATACCATTACCCAGAGAAAACTGCATTAACAGCGAGGCCGAGCTCCACAACACCAGCCATAGACACTCAGTAAGACAGGCCGGAGAGCAGTGTCCTTCACCAGGGCAGGCAGAACTGAATCCATCATACCTGTGCACCACCCGCTCCATAATTACACTCATTACTCATACAGGCCTGTCTGTATTATCCTGTTCACTCACCATTTCCTCCCAGCAAATCATTTTATTACACTGCAGTTTTTTTTTAATATGTGTAACCAGAGGGACTAGTGTTAATTAGGATCCACAATGCAAATCACAAACATACAGACATTACCATAACATTTACATATCAGATGTTATTTCAGTGAATTTCATACGACTCCTGATTCTAATCTGGAACTGCAACTAGTAGAAGTGAGATACTGAAACACCTCCTGAAAAGTTCTGGTCGCATTAAAAGGTCAAATGTAGAGGACAAATTAGCCTAAGGGGTATTGAAGTGCACCTTATTATTACTGTTTTCTGGTCTGTGTTAAAATGTCTTAATTTTTCCTCATTTCCTCATCAAAAACAGACTTGGAGTTGTGTTTTGTTTCATTCACACATGTTTAACACACAAACCCTGCATACTGAGGATGTTATCTTCTCTCAAACAGAAAACACCTTGTGATGTCATGTGGTAATACAGGAAGAGCTCTACTGTGTTTTTAAACTCCATGCACCTTCACTAGACTCATTTGGCAGCCCTGGAATTGTCAATCTCCACTACATCACAATTTAAAACAGAGCATTTTGAACTTTAGAGATGTAGACAGTCTAATAATAAAGAATTACTCAATCATGAGTGAATGAAACTAAACTCCAGGTCTGTTTTTTGATGAGATAAGTGTAGCATAGTCCAATAAGGTTCATTTGGTCTTCTGATAATTCATGATATTAAGTTATTTTTTCAGACCAAGAGTTTGTTTTCAAACCTGACAGTTTGGACTGCTCACTAGCAGTCTTCATCAGAGTCACGTGGTGTTGCTGTGATGTGTACGTTCAGCTGATTTAAACTGGTTTTGGCGCTGTCTTCCTACCGGTGGAGGCAGGACGACAGTACCATCTGCAGTTCAACTTCCTCAGGACAGTATCCCATGTGTGAGAAAGCCCCCTTGTTTCGGTTTATAGTCCCGTGGGCATGTTTCTATTTCAATTGCCTCTTTAATCCAGTGAGGGAGTTTGTTTTCCTCTGTCCTAATGATGTTTGCTCCGTCCCAGTCCAGAATGTGGTTCTCTCTTTTAGATGTGGTCAGAGATGGCTGATTTGAGTTGTTCCTGATCTACTTTGCGTTTTGTTGCCCGTCTGCCTTCTCTGTTCTCTCTTTCAGCAGTGCGAGGCGTGCTCCTTTTACAATTTTCTCCGCATTCTGGGTTGGGATGGGATTTTTGAGGTCCAGGCTGGGTGATATAATTCCCCGGTCCTGGAAACGCAAGTTGAATTAGAGATGGTTACGGAAATGTGCCCTTTTCAATTCCAGTTGTTCTAATTTGCGGAATTCCTTAACACATTGTTGTCCATGACTTGAGCGTAAAACTGTCAAGTATGAAAGCAAACTCTTGGTCTGAAAAAATAACCTAATAACATAACATTACAACATGGTTAAATGCTGAGTCAATTTTGAGTAATATAGGACCCTTAAATGTGCAATGCAACTTTTCAGACAGAGGGTCCGCCACCTAACTGTCTCCATGGCGATGTTACAGTAGTGCCTAGAATATTCCACAGTATGCCACTAAACATATCTGTCATATATTCAGTGAATTACCAGTATTTTTATTGCTCAAATATTCCTTAAAACATACATTCTCAGGATAGTCGTCTCTCCAATGATCTGACTTGTAACTTTACTTACTTGCCTCCTTCTTTGGAAATGGATATGTTTAATGCCATGCTGTAGAACATTTCAGGAAAAACAAAGATATCTCCATGGAAACAAGCAGTTGGCGTTTATATAGGTTTTAGTTGAGAAGTAATAAAGATGATGAGTGTTTGGGGCGATAGCTAGTTCATTCCTGGTCTAACATGTGACATACAGAGACAAAGTTCCAAAGCTAAAATTCTATCCTGCTCAGTGACACAGGAAGGACATGCAGACTGCGCCCTGATAAAAAATGAATATAAGACAAGCTGTAAGATGGAAGAGCGCCGTAAAGGCAGGCACAGTGGAAGTTACCCCTAGAGACTGATGATAAACGTGACAGATTTTATAATGTGATGAGAAAAGGCTGAATGGATCCATCAGTAGTTTTTCAAATACATAAAAGAAAGAGCTAATACTGGGTCTAAGAATTCAGACGCTCAAGGCCAGTGTTTCTCAAACTGTCCTCCTCCTCTACAGATCTAGAGTTTACTTAACGGTTCTATATTATGCAAAACTGACTTAGTTATAATGTTGTTACTTCATCAAAAACATACCTGGTATTTCTATTTCTTTTTGGCAATGTGGGGTCATCCAAGAACATTGGTCAGAGATTCATCAACATCTGCAGAAAGTTTTTTCATTTGTTTTCCACCTGTCTTTTGATGCCTTGTATCTTGGTAACCTAGTACTAGATGGCTTTACAACACGAACAAGACATTACTCTACATTCTACTCGCTGCAAGTAAAAAGGCAATAACAAGGAATTGGCTTAAACCTGAGCGACCAATGACTGAGAACGGGATTGATATTGTGCAATACAATATCAATACAATGGAAAAGTTTTAATTTTTACTGCAAGTGTAGCTAGACTTATTTTACAAGATGTGGTCTAAATGGACAAGCCGGTGAGATCAGGCTTCATGTAAAACTACTTCATATTTGCAATGTTTGTTAATTTGTGAAAGAGGTTCCCTGGCTCCCCAACATGAAGTGGTCGTTTTGGTAAAAGCTACTTTTGATCTTATGCTCAGTTAAGTAGAAACTGGCAATTCCAGGGCTGAAATTATCCTTCTATTGAAGGTGTATGGAGTTTAACACAATGGAGCACTTCCTGTGTTATCATAAAAGTGTGATCTGTTTGAGAAAAGAACAATATGCAGGATTTGTGAGTTAAGCATGTGTGGATGAAACAAAACAACTTCAGGTATGTTTGCGATGAAGATACAACATTATAATGCAGCTCAGAATATAGAGTAATATAGGCCCTTTAAGACAAGATTAAACCTAGAATAGTCCAGGTTTACAGTTCCCTGGAAGTGCTCAAAAAGTCAAATATTTTCTTAGGTGGTCTCTTTATGGGAACATATTTTATCTACTTTTATATTCAACTAAAATAAAACAATTCACCTTTTGTCTATCAATCATAAAACTGTACCCAATCCATGTACTTGCATTTAAACACATCTGTGAAAAATGCTCTGCTAAAAGTATTGTTGAATACAAATGATCAAATGAAGCTCTGTGTTCAGCAGACAGATGAAAAGAAAATTGTTGTACTTTTCACATAACAAATCATTCAGTCTTCTCTTTTGATAAAACTAAACTAAACAGAAGAAAAGATTATCTCTGAGCTATAGGCTGATGAAGCATAACAATATGACCACCACAAGTATAATGGACTGTGCTGCACATAGGACATATTACTGTAAACAAATTCCCACATCTGGGAAAACATTTAAAATGTTAGTGAGAATGGTAGTTTCCAACTGCAGCTAACCTAAGCATGAGTGAGCACACATTCCCCTTTTTTATGAGATGAGACAGTTTTATATAGCACAATCAGAAACGCTTTACAGAACATTCTTCATTCACTCCACACTCAGTGGTGATAAGATACTATTGTGGCCACAGCTGCCCTAGAGCAGACTGACAAAAGTGAGGCTGCCAATCTGCCCCATCGACCCCACCAGCCACCACAATCACTCACGCACACACTTCACCTTCATACAAGGCAATGTGGGTGAAGTGCCTTGCCTAAGAACACAACAAAGGTTTTTGTCACCAGTGGCTCACTGTGGCACCTGATTTTCCCAGTGGTCCAAATACTAACCAGGCCCGACAATTGCTTAGCGTCTGAGATCTGATGGGATCAGGCTTTGACATGCCGGTGTGGTCACAATCTGTTAGGATTAATATTCTTTCTCTGTCAAATGAATACCAATTTCAAGACCTAAACAAGTTACATACTACAAGGGCCCTTTATAGCTGCTGGCGGTTTTAATTTCTTATTACATTTTGTGATGTAGTTGCTCACTTTTTCCAACCTTCGTTACCCACACAAAAGCTTAACCATCTTGCCCTAGAAACATTGTCCTTGGTTGGTGTGCATCTGTACAATTGAAACAAAGCCCATGAATAGAGTTCAAATCAATTCCCTGTAGACAGACTTAATATGGCTGCTAATAATTGCCTGCAGATAGTAGGCAAAGCAGTCATGTCAAAGGGAGAGAAGAGACACTGAAAACAAAGAGCACTGCTTCTTTCAATTTAGACTCCAAATAAATTGCTTATTAACATTGTCTCCAGGCAAATGGGAGTCGTTTTTGTTCAGACTCAGCCCATAATGACTGGTAAAATAGTGTAAAAAGAGGTTTAAGGAGAGGGAAGGTGATGGAATCGCTGTGAAGAACGTTTAGGAGAAAAACTATCTGGTCAAGTGGTTCTCAAACTGTAGTATGCGTACAATAAAGACTATTGGTGGCACATGAGAGTTTTTTGTATTTTGTGACAAATGTTAGCTTATTATGAAGTCAAGTCAATTAATTAATCCAGTCTTCTATGCGTTTTCAGATGTAACAAAAAAGCACAATAAAACCATTTAGTCATATAGCCATGTTTTTTCATGTTTCCTTATATTTTTTTTTACTTTTTATAAGTTTGAAAAGATAAATAGCTTTGAAGAGGTACTTAATAAAATTTGAGAATAAAACATATTTTTCCCAAACAGGTACAAGATACAAGGTTAAAGGGTCTATATTACTCTATTTTCTGATCTGTGTTATAATGCTCTTTCCTCATCACAAACACCTTGAGCTGTATTTTGTTTAAGTCACACATTTTTGACACAGAAATTCTGCATATTTAGGCTTAGGAGTTCTTAGGAGGCTTATTTAGGCTTTAGGAGTTCTTCTCTCAACCTGAAAACACTTGTGGTAATACTGGAAGTGCTCCACTGTGTTTTTAAACTTCACACACCTACACTTTAATCATTTACATATAAGTTCAGACATGGAATTTGCAATCTTTACTGAATTAAACATAAAAGGTAGCTGTTAACTTGAAAACAACCACTACGTGACATTGCAAGGTGGAACTGAGCTTTGCAGATGTAGACCGGCTGATAATAAACGTGTACTCAAACATGTGTGAACAAAACAAAACAAGGTAACAACATCTCCCTAGAGTCAATTTTGTGTAATATAGGACCTTTAAATATCCAGGTCAGGTCGTCACTCACTGCACAATTTGTCCACGCTTCTTTCTCATTCCAGTGTCAGCGTGCACCTCTTCTGATGTCTCCTATCTCTTCTTTACAAAGTCTACACTAAGGGGCATAAAGGAAATGAATGATGTGTAAATGGATGCAGCCGCTGGACCCAATCTGTGACAAGACATCTGGAGGCAACATTGATAGCCCTATGTCAAATTTCATATTCATCATCCATCGCTCCCAGCAGGGGGAGCCGTGCTGGGCAGAGTTTAGACCATGACTGGGGTTCTATTGCCACATGGCTCATTGAAATTTATAACATAGCGGAATATAGACCTCTGTGTATTCTTGATTTGTATGTATCGATATGATATCCGATGTTACTTTTAGCATGTTTAAGGAGGTGGCACTTAAAAACAGTTGGCCATTTAGTGATTGTTTTCTTTAAATTTAGGGTCATATTGCACTATTTATAATTTGTCATAATATTGTTTCCTGATAAAAAAAACTTACCCAAAGCTGTGTTTTGTTTCATTCACACATGTTTAACACACAAATCCTGTTTAATATTTAGACTGAGTTCTTCTCTCAGACAGAAAATACTCAGTTCAGTCCTAGAATAGCCAATCTTTACTGAACAAAATGTAAAATGTGGCTGTTAACTTAAAAACTACTGCTTCATGACATCACAAGGTGGAACAGAGGATTCTGAGCTTTGGAGATGTACAAAGACTAATAATAAAGAGTTACTCAAACAAACATGCGTGAATTAAACAAAACACAACTCCAGGTCTGTTTTTCATGAGGTAACAACATTCTCAAATGACTTAAAACTCACAAGAGTCAAGTTTGTGTAATATTGGAATATCGAATTTATTGTGATGTGTACAGTTACCAAAAGAAAGTTGTACTAGTGAAACTTAATTTTCAAATATTGCAACACAATTTTACAAAACATTGCGACTACATTCAACCTCCCATGGCCTACTTCAGTCATGATGATCCATGTGATTACTACTGCCCTATATATTCAGCTATCAGTCTACAATGAACACATGCAACAAGCGCCCAGTATATTGTGCAGTTGTTACTCTAATAATCTGAAATGGGCTGTGACTGTAATTAGGCCAGTCTGAAAATGCCACAAAAGAGACACAACACAACATAGATTAATATCCCGAGGCAGTGAGCGCGCTACTATTATGATGCATTTATCTTGACACTGTTTGAAAGCTATCATTACGTCTGGGTCACTTGGCCCAGATGAAAAACAGTGCGTGTCTCTCTTCGTGTTAATAAAGGTGGAGCTTTTGAATAGTTTCTTTGATATGAATCAGGACAAAACCGCACATTTGCACTAGAAACACAAAAGCTACATTCAGTGTTTAAACAAGAATAAGATGATGTACCAGAGGCAGTTTGGATCTCATAATAAAGATAATGTTTTGCATAATATATAGATTGCTGGGTTTCAGACATCACAACTTTCTATAGGCCAGTAATATTTAGCTAAAATTAATATTAATATATAATATTAAAATGATTTTTATAATACAATGTGTTACTGGGTCTAAAAGGGACAGAACAGAGGGCATTGTTATATTTACAATAGAAACCAATGCCATGTCCATCCACCATCTAAACAAGGGTTCATTTGCAGACTTGGTCCCTCACATAAAACAGACAAAAGCAGACAGAGACATAAATAGACATTACACCATAAAGCACAGTACAACATATTTACAATGACATACATTAAACATGTTTTTAGTGTTTACAAGCTTGGTTTGGTTTCAGCCACTGCTTTACTTTGCAGTTAAAGTGGTTCAGAATCAGATGTGTGAGAGTTTTCAGTTGGACAGGCATGGCATTACAGATCTGTTGGATCTTGGATTTGGCTGTTCTATAGTCACTGTTTGCAGGGCCCCTTGTGGTGATACTACAGGAATTACATTTCTCTACCAATAATATCAAAAAATCTGGGTAAACTGTGTGGTTTTATTAATGCTCTATAGCAAATTATCAATACTTTACTATTATAGCTTTTAGCAACTGATATTTATAATGGAGCCTGAAAAATACTGATTGTTGAACTATTTGTTGAAATCAATATTCTTATGTAAATGACATCTGACATTTTTTAATATATTGCATAATTAACCTATCATTCATGTAATAACTGGATTTCACCAGAACTCTTATTTTATTGGCATTTTAAAGACTGTTTGATAATACTACCAATCCAAGATATAACACTTTAGAAGCCATATGTTCTTGTGCTATATGAAGGAACAAACAGTGGAGTAGCTGAGTGGGTTGTGCATATGCGTGTTAGCGTGTGGTGACTGACCCTTCGGCTCCGAGTAGCAATCTGTTCACCACAAGAAGCTATAAAAGTCACTGCTGTGGCGTCTGCTTGGTCAAGGCTGCTGATCTCACCATTTGCCTAATAGCATATTATAGTGTCCCTCTATCTGTTTGTGTGGGAGGAAAATAATCAACATTTGGTGGCATTGAGAGAGCCTGAACTATTAACACACCATGGATATTTCTATTCTAGTCCAAAAATAATCCGCATTGCTTGAGTTAGCGCACATGAATGCCTTTTGAATCTTCTTTGGAGACTTGAGTGTAAACCTGTTTCCAGCTGAAAAGGCTAATCCGTGAGACTATAAACCTAAAAATAAAGGCGAGGAGAGGTGCGGCTTTTGTGGCGTCAGTTTGTAAGACTAAATCTAAAATAAACAATAATATTTACTTTGTTTGAAGTGAAGCAAATGATGTTATTGTGGCACAGAGATAGAGCCCGTATAGTGTGCATATGTTCACTCCCTGTGGTTTTCTTATTTTCAGTCTCCCATAACAGCTGTTTTATTATCTTTTGAGAACTGAATATCTATATGAGCCACAATGCCAGATAAGGAAACTAAAACTATTACCTCCTTTGCTATAGAAATTTAATTGCCGTCTAGTTTCTATTTGTGTGTTTTTGTGCAGTGCTTGTGGGGTGTTGTGTTAGGAGAAAGGAGTGAAGGGTGAGTATATTTTTATAGTTTTGTCTGTTTTTGTTTTAGTTTTGTAAAATATTAAAAATTTGTTTAAAAAAAAAAAAAAAGGTTTAAGAAAAAAAGAAATGTGTGTTTTGATTTTCTTGGAAAGGGACAATAAAGTGATCAATGCCTTTATACAGTACACTATTAAAACGTACAACTGCACAAAACAGTCAAGTGTACAAAATATCAATTCATTAACAATACTTTTACGATTATAAATCTAGGCCAAAAAAAAAAAAAAAAACAGCCATAAATGTTATTGGATATGACAATGAAGCCATACCATCTCTGAATAGCAAAAGGACAACCATATTTTAGAGACAAAGACAAAGTGGCAGCAGTTGCCTAAGACTGTGTACCTGTGATGGCGTGGTGAGAGAAAGCTTCTACATAGGTCAGGTAGTTGTGGGGACAGTGTTTCTTGAGCCACTTGCACACGTCTTGTTGCGTCCACAGCACCACCGGTTTGGACAGAGAGGAGAGCGTGGGGCTAGTGTGGTACACGGCAAAGGCTTCACCCGGGCGCAGCTGGGACACAAGCACAGAAAAGGAGACATACAGTAAATATAAAGATCAACAAAAATAGAAAAGTGGTTTATAAACAGTCTCTGGAAGAAACTAACCAAAATACATAGTATTTCAGTACAGTTATTAGTCTATTTAGAATACAGTGTCAGTTAGGAGTGTAATGGTACATATATTCATACCGAACCGTTTCAGTACGGGATGTTCGGTTCAGTGCAGGGCTACACACGAGTGAATTTGCACAATTTGTTTACATTCGGCCACTACATGTGCAGCTACATGAAAGGCTCGGCTCTTTAATATTCACGAGGGAACTTGTCCGTGATTGAGGTGGCAATGTTTCCTGCAGCGCTTTATAGTTAGGTCAGCCGCCTTGACAACATTTGCCCCCCGCCTTGACTACGTCTCTCCGAACCACGTGAATCCTCACAAAACTGCGGTCGTCACACCCCTTTTCTCACTTTCGCCATCATGGAATCTCCTGTTTGTGTAATGTTAAAACAAAATGTTGGTTTAATAAACACACAAATAAACAACAAGCAAATGGTTTTGCATTTTGTTCCTATACTGTACTGAAAATGAATCGAACCGTGACCTCAAAACTGAGGTACGTATCGAACCGTGATTTTTGTGTACTGTTACAACCCTCGCTGTAGTTAATTATATACAATTTAGGCATCAAACTGCACAGTATTAGTAAAAAAAAAAAGTTATCAATAAATGCATAACAAACAGTAAAACTGTGACTGTTACTTGTGTTGTGTAACTTTTCTGGTGGAGTGTCTGTCAAATGCTTTTCTTCGTGGAGATGTTATTGCTTTGTCTGGAATTTTTCACAGCATGATATTAAACCTTTCTATCTTCATGGAGACCAAACGAGACAAAGTTAAAGGTCAAATCTGAGGAGAGGTAACCCCGCTTACACTCAGAATGCCTGTTGTTCTAGGTATTTTTGAGCTATAAAAGTTTACTGTAATGTTTTGTGTCACTGCCAATGTTGTTTATTATCATTCAGACCAAAATGTAATCAACTGTTAAAAGTTTTACTTGAGTGGAACCATAGTTGTAATCATATTAGGGCTGGGACTCACAATTCGATACAACACACAATAAATGGCTCTCGATACGATATTGTCACGATTAGGCAATACTTGCGATAATCGATATACTGCACATGATACTCGATGGATTATTTGTTCATCAGCACAGTGAATGCACGTGCAGCTTGAATGCAGAAAGCGCCACCATCTCTGCGGCTAAAATGAAGTTGCAACGTTAGCTAGTGGTAGAGTCCTGCACTGGGTCGGGTACCAAATAGTTGCTGAAATGGGCAGGTTTTAATGTTCTGGAATTTTACATGTAGTGATTACACACGTGCGGGTCAGGTGAATCAAATGAACGGGAGTAAAATACTTGACGCGTGTCCAGGAACTCCCATTGCCCTGGAAACAAGTTCTATTTCCCGGTCTTTTCCCGGAACAACGGCAGACCAGGCTCAGAGAGAGACTTGAGTGTATTTATTACATCAGCGGAGGCAGTTGGCTCAGTGGCTGCGCCTGGTCTAGTCCTGGTTTAGTCCTGGTCTAGTCCTGGTTCAGTTCTAGTTTAGACCTGGTTAGACCCCGGTTAGGTTAGACCCTAATGACCCGGATTTATCACGGGCAGACAGGTAACGGGTGGAATGTTAATGGGTACGGGCAGGTGTGGATTTAACTTTGATATAATCACGGGTTAATGGGTGGGTGCGGTGCTGTACTGAGCGAGTGCTGGCGGGTGCAGGTCTACAAAAATGGACCCATGGAGGACTCTTTCTGCAGGAGACATGCTCAGGGGACAGGCAAGTGACATAGTCTGATAATCCATCTATACTGCTGTTTTTTAAGAACCAAATACAGTTTAGCAACAATATTTCTTTGTGAAAATTAATCTGAAATACATCTATTTTAATCATCAAAATAGTGAAAATCAAGAGAGTCAAGTGTTTTGCATAAAAAGTTTCCTTCCACTAAATTAACAATGATAACAATACTGTATAACTAAACTTAGTATAACGATATTCAAATTTTTTTGGTACACCCCTAAATCGATAATATAACAAAAAAAAGTAATTGCACAGTCCTTGTTATTCCAAAGTCAACAACAGAGACATTATTTTCAATGCATGAGATTAGACTGTAGATGATATCCCAGGAAATACTGTAAATGAGCAAACACCTCCAGTGGAAAACAGCTTATTCCAGTGTTCGTATTCGCCGCAGTGAGCCTCTTGTAAACACATCCTTGTATTATTGTAAAAACATGAATCGTGGGGCTTTAATGAGCAATGAGCAGACGGCTTTAAAGCTTAAGGCCTAATTACAAACAGATGCTTTTCCTCTGTAATAATGGCCCTGCTTTCACATTTGAACCCTCATTTAAAAAGAAACATGCAAATTAGCCATCGCCACTGCCTTTGACGCCTTTTCTCCAATCATCATGTAGACTGGCAGATTTCACCTCTCTGTCAAAAGCAGGCTGCATCTCCACACAGTAATTGCGATCTATACAGTCAGCGTGAACAAGGGCACTGGCATTTCAAAGTGGAGGCGTCTTCAGCGCTGGCTTTTCCAGGGATGCTCTGATTAATCCTGACAGTTTTACCTATACAGCATTGCATCACTGTTTATCTTATAGTTAAATGTAGAGGTCAAAGCGGTAAGTTGCATAGCTTATAATTATGAGCATGTGTCAGCCGTCCCCTCAACCTTCTCATTTTATGTAGGTGAGCATCATCAAAAAAGTCAAAGTAAAGCTATTTTCTGATCTATGTAATAATGCTGTTTCCTCATCAAAAAACACCCAGTATCACATAGAAACAGAGGGAGGACCCAAAATGCAGGACTACAGTTGAAGTTCTTTAATAACAAACAAAAAGACCCAAAAATCCATAAATCCAAAAATCACGACTAAACTGCCATGACAATACACTGACACTGACAATGACAATGACACTGGACCAACCAAGGGCAGAGGAGAACACAGGGTATCCAGTATATATTCACAAACAGGAAGTTAAACTCAAAACTACAAGCAGACAGGACAAATGCCAAAATAAGACCAAGGGCACACAACACTAAAGGAATAAGATACACCAAAATAAGCAAAAACAATGACTACAAAACATGAACCATGACATACAGTTGTGTTTTGTTTCATTCACACATGTTTAACACACAAATCCTGCATATTTAGGCTGAGTTCTAAAATAATAAATGAATACAAATAATAATTTTCAGCCATGGAACTGCCAATCTCTACTGAATAAAAGTTAAAAGGTGCCACTTAACTTGAAAACTACCACTTCATGACATCACAAGGTGGAACAGAGCATTTTGCGCTTTGGTGATATTGACAGCCCAACGATGGAGAATTACTCAAACACAACCCCAGATATGTTTTTGATGAGGTAACAAGGTTTTAACTAAAAGCTTAAAGGGATAGTTCAGGATTTTTGACATAAATCTGTATGGCATCCCCGTGAGCAGTGTCGTGAATCCACACTGACTTACCCCGACAGCATCCGGTGAACCGAGATACTGGCCGTATTCGGTGCTGATGAAAGTAGTCCAGCAAGTTGGCTGGGGACTGTATAATAAAGTGTTTTTCTTTTCCAAACAATATGTGTTCAAAAGAGTGATACATTTGCATCACAAAACCATTGTCGCCTAAAAAGTCAGACCTCATTATCGCTTGGCACTATTTTCTTTCCGTTCGTACGACTGCGCGCTGCCGCCAGGTGACAGCCGCGCACAAATCCATCACTTTCTGCAGTTGTTCAGCAGTGTTTACATGCGCAGACCACTGTGACGTGAGAGAGCTAACGTGAGAGCTAGAGCGATAAGTATATAAGCTTGTATAAGATACATAAGAATATATCTAAAAAATGTTGCAAACTCTTGATTATCCAGGCTGTAACGACAAAAATCTGGCTGAATCTCCACACACATTTCACAGTTTTCCTGTCACGGACTTGGCGCTGAGGAAACTTTGGCTTCTTGCCTTAGACTTCAATGTGGAAACCAAACCAGGTTAGAACGAAGAAGTGCCGCTATGTTTACAAGCAGACAGGTTCAAGAATCAGCTGTAACGCTGTGTGCAGTTAATCACTCAGTGTCATATCACCAGTGAAGCGTCTACAAAACGTAACTTTATAAGTCGACTGTTATTACTATTGTAAATGTCACGTACACGATTGGTAGCAGCTACGTGGACGTGTGGATGATTCCATGTTTCTATTAGTAGTCCATACTTCAGTCACAGTGTCGGCTCTATGTTCGCTGTATACGAGTTTATAAATGACGTGATGGTAATTGTCGCTCACTCGGTCTCTCACGTGTGACTCCAGCTTCAACTTGTACCACTTCTCTGTCTCTCTTCTCTCTCTGCCTGTTCTAACTCCATCTAGCGAATTTCGGCATCAGTATATTCAGGTTCATAAAGATCTCCCCTTGGCTTTGTGGTAAAGGCAAAGTCTTTATTGTCGGTGTTGTAATCAGACATGTTGTCGCTAACATTCCGAGCAGTAAACAAAGTGAACCAGGCGAGGCTGTCACCTAGCGGCAGCGCGCAGTGATACGACGGAAAGAAAATAGTGCCAAGCGATTATGAGGTCTGACTTTTTAGGCGACAATGGTTTTGTGATGCAAATGTATCACTCTTTTGAATACATATTGTTTTGAGAAGAAAAACGCTTTATTATACAGTCCCCAGCCAACTTGCCAGACTACTTTCATCAGCTCCGAATACGGCCAGTATCTCGGTTCACCGGACGCTGACGGGGGTAAGTCAGTGTTGATGCAAGATACTGCTCATGGGGGTGCCATACAGATTTAAGTCAAAAATCCCGAACTATCCCTTTAAAGGTCACAGTTGTCAATTTAGGAAAATAGGACCTTTAATCAAACATAAAAACTAGAACTAGAACTCTATTTCAACCAAGATTAATGCCAGATTTCAGAAGCTGT